GGTGTCAGCAGAAGCTAGTGGCCAGTAGATATTGCCGGCCGCTGTGCACGGCAGGAGCTGGCTGTGGAGAAGGTGCACACCTGGCAGGAGCCTGGAGCTGAAGGACCCACTTGCATTGCAGGATCTGGGCACCGGGGCAGCCCAGCTACATGCACCACAGGATTCAGACGCTAGGGAAGCTGCTGTGCTACGGGGCACTAGCAAAGCCACAGGGGCTGCAATACCCATGCATGGGGGAGCCACATGCACTGCGGGCAACTGGCACTAGATAGGCCTTGTATACTGCAGGAGCCCGCCTAGCAATCACACTGAAACCAGGAGGAAAATCCCACCTCCTGCAGTGTCTTTCCAGCGCCCTCTAACGACAAAGATTAACATGGTGCCTGTTGGCAAAGAAAAAACATAAAGGGCCCATTATAATTTTTTTCAGAGCAGGCAGTAAAAGGTGAATTGGAGCTACGTTGATTTTATGCGGAAGTTGACACAGTAATTCTAAATTTCATATGGAAATGCAAAAGGCCTAACTATAGCCAAAACAACTCTGAAAAAGAAGCATAAATTTGGTGGACTAACACGACTTGATGTCTATAATAAACCCATAGTATAAAGACAGTGTGGTGTTGGTGTAAGGACAGACAAAATAGATCAATGGAACAGAATAGAGAATCCAGAAATAGGTCTACACATATAGGGACATCTGAACTTCAACAAAATTGCCAACTGGAGAAATTCAGTGAAGAAAGAACTGTCTTTTCTGAGCAGGTGGTGCTAGAACAATTAGATGTCCATATCCACACACTCAAAGTGATCCTGGGTCGGCCACTACCTTTCTCTCCTTTCAGCCACGGTGACCGTGGGTCAGAGGAATTTGGGGCCATGAAACTGCAAAGCAGAACCAAGTCTTTCAAGAGATTTTATTCCCTCAAAGTTGCTCCCAAAGTGAAAGCCATGCCTGCCCCTGCAGGAGTGCCTGCACATCCCCAGGACCTCGAAATTTACCAAATTACCAAATAGTTTAGTGATTGCATCTCTGGAAGACTGTGCTCCTGCATCAAGAATGGGTTTGCTCGCCCTGACTGGTTTGACTCAGTGGATAGAGTCTCAGCCTGCGGACTAAAGGGTCCCAGGTTCGATTCCAGTGAAGGGCATGTACCTTGGTTGTGGACACATCCCCAGTGGGGAGTGTGCAGGAGGCAACTGATCAATGTTTCTCTCTCATCGATGTTTCTAACTCTCTATCCCTCTCCCTTCCTCTCTGTAAAAAATCAATAAAATATTTTAAAAGAGAGAATGGGTTTGCTCATTAAAGCAGGCAGTGGGTACGAGGACTCTCACAACTGAGGAGCCTCTCATTTGCTTTGTCGTGCATCCAGTCTGACTACAAAAGGAGCATCCATCATCTTTTCAGATAACCCGTGGAATTGAAGCTGTTGGTGGTAAATTGTGACTTCAACAAGGGAAAACATGGCTACGCTGTGGAATGCCTGCGGGATGACATGGAAATTCTAATGGAGTTGCTGCTCAGTGTCACCACAGCACCAGAATTTCATCATCGGGAGGTGGCTGCCCTTCGGTCTCAGCTGAGGATTGACAATGCTGCGGCACTTCAGAACACACAGGCTGATATCATTGGAAATCTGCATGCTGCAGCCTACCAAAATGCCTTGGCTAACTCCTTGTATTGTCCTGATTATAGGATTGGAAAAGTGACACCAGATGAGTTACATCACTACGTTCAGAACCATTTTACAAGTGCAAGAATGGCTTTGGTGGGACTTGGTGTGAGTCATCCTGTTCTGAAGCAAGTTGCTGAACGGTTTCTGAACATGAGGGGTGGGCTTGGTTTATCAGGTGCAAAGGCCAGATACATGGAGGTGAAATTCGAGAGCAGAATGGAGACAGTCTCATTCATGCTGCCTTTGTAGCAGGAAGTGCTGCCATAGGAAGTGCAGAAGCAAATGCATTTAGCATTCTCCAGCGTGTCCTCAGCGCCGGACCACATGTCAAGCGGGGCAGCAATGCCATCAGCCCTCATTAGTTGCCAAGGGAACTTACTAGCCATTTGATGTTTCTGCTTTTAATGCCAGTTACTTGGATTCTGGACTCTTTGGGATTTATAGTATTTTGTAGGCTGCAGCTGCTGGAGATGTTATCAAGGCTGCCTGCAACCAAGTCAAAGCAATTGCTCAAGGAAACCTTTCCAGCCCAGATGTCCAGGCTGCCAAGAACAGGCTGAAAGCTGGGTACCTATTGTCAGTGGAGTCTTCTGAAGGCTTCCTGGATGAAGTTGGGCCTCAGGCTCTCGCTGCTGGCTCGTATGTGCCACCGTTCACAGGCCCTCAGCGGATTGGCTCAATAGCTGACGCTGATTTCATAAATGCTACCAAGAAGTTTATTTCTGGCCAGAAGGCAATGGCAGCAAGTGGAAATTTGGGGCATACACCTTTTGTTGGTGAGCTGTAAACCTGAAACACATTGTAGGAAAGAGATGGACATTTTCTCAACCCAGAGCAGCAAACACATGGAAGTCCCACATCTATAATGTAATATTTGTCTTGGTTTTCAATGAGGTGAAATATCTTAAAAAGTTTAAATTGCAGGTAATTGTTCCCTGCTGACCTAAAGTCAATGAAATATTCTAAGTGTTAAAAAAAAAGTGAACCTGGATCCATACTTCACATATTATACAAAAATTGACTGAAATATATGTTATAAAGCGAAATGTAAAAATAAGAAACTTCTAGAAGAAAATATAGGGAAAATTTCTGTTACTTGTATTTGGCAAAGATAGGCCCCTCAAAGAATAAATTTATTAGCTACAACCTGTAAAAAATAAATTGACAAATTAAAACTTATTTTCAAAGGTACTCTTAAGAGAAAGAATAAGAAAACAAGCCACAAATGGAGGGGGAGGGGAATGAAGGGGGAGTGGAGGAATCTTTGCAAAGCATGTATCTGATAAGTGATTTGTATCCAAGAATGTATAAAGAACTTATAAAAGAACATGAAATTCAAATTAAAAACTTGGCAGAAAATTTGAGCAGGTACTTCACCAAAGTAGTTAACTGATAACAGAAAAGCACATGAAAAGCTGATTAAGTTCATTGGCCATTAGGGAAATGAAAGTAAAGCCACAGTGAGATGCCACTGATCACTCATTAAAATGGCAGAAATTACAAAGACAGACCCTAGCCAGTGTTGGTGAGCATGTGTAGAGCTGAAACTCATATACAGCTGTATTTTCTATGTTAGAAAACAGTTTGTCAGTTTCTTAAAAAGTTGAAGGTGCACCTGCCATGTGATCCAGTGATTCCACTCCTGTGTATGTATCCAAGAGAAATGAGAGCAGATATCCATTTAGCGACTCACACATATTCATCACAGCTTTATTTGTAAGAGGACAAAACTGGAAAGAACTCAAGTATTTAAAGGTGAATGGGTTTTTTTAAAACCCTATGGTACATCCATATGCTACCTAGCAATTATAAGTCAGGAACTATTGATGGTCACACCACGTGAATGACACTCAAAATAATTATGCTGAGTGGAAGAAGCCAGATCAAAAAAAAATCACATGCTTTCTGATTCAGTTTATATAAAATTCTAGAAAGTGCAAACTAGTGTATAATATTGGAAAGCGTATTAGCAACTTCCTAAGGACGAGGAATGGAAGGATGGAGAAGAGCAGGAAAGAGGGATACAGAGATTCATGGGAAAATATGTAGGGATGTTGGATATGTTCATTATCTAGAATGTGTGAGGGTTTCATAGGTGTATACTATGTCAAAAATTATGGAATATTATACCATAAATGTGCATCCTGTATAATAAAAGGCTAATATGCAAATAGACCAAACAGTGGAACAACCAAACAACGGAACAGTCGGTCGCTATGATGTGCATTGACCACCAGAGGGCGCACAGAGAACATGGCAGCCATTGGCTGCAGTGGGATAGTGGAGCAGGTGAGTAAGGGCGCCAGACCAAGACGGGATGCCGGTCGCTGTCATCAAGGCGAGCCTCTGGTGGTTACTGAAAATTCTTTGCTCCCGCGCTCCGTGGTCCTGCCCAGCAGGCAGACCTGCTGCTGGCGCCAGCCCCACTTGCTCCCGCAGCTGGCACCAGAGCCACTGCTCGCACCCACTGCTGGTGCCCGGCACCAGCCCTGCTCACGCCCACACCTGACACCAGAGCCGCCACTCACACCTGCTGCCAGTGCCTGGCTCTCGTCCCATCGGCACGTAGGAGCAGTGGAGGCAGGAGCAGGGCTGCTGGCAGACAGAGGACCGGGGGTTGTGCGGCAGGAGGGGCTGGGTAGGGGCACAAAGATGCAGCCTCGCGGCCCACAGTTCCTTTCAAGGTGCACAAATTTGTACACTGGCCCCTAGTTTATATATAATTATATGTCAATTATACCTCAATTAAGGCCTTTAAAAAAAGAAATTCTTCCTTCCAAATTATCATCCTACTGTGTGAACTCATGTGTTAACTGATGTAACAATTTCAACCAAGTAGACAAGTTAATGGTATGCAGATTTGTTACGTTGGAAGCTTAAGTTTACCTCAAGGGTACATGAAAGAACATGCTGAATGCATCAATCATGTCCCTCAGAGAACTAAAATAAGTCCCAGTGAATAATGTGATAACATTGTGCAATTTAATATCTTTAACTATGCTGTCAAAACTTCAGAAATCAGAGAGAGAGAACCACCAAAATAAGATGGTTCTATTTGTGAGGAGAACATGTAGACTTTTCTACAAAAGAAAAGCTGTACTTTTCTTCTTCCAGTTTAAAAAGACATTCAGTGGAATCGCCACTCTCTTTTTTGGATAAGTGTTAAAACAAACCATTGAGTCTTAGAAATGATTTCTATTGAGAGGAGTTGCAAGAGCTTACCTTTCATCTGTTCATAAACCTGTTCTTTTTCACAACTGTTTTGATTCACAGCATACTGATCTGTGCTTCCTCTCTTTCCTCTCGTGTGTTTTGATATGCCAGATGTATCGTGAAGATTACTGGAGAAATGGTGTTGTCCTTCCCTGCCGGCATCACCAGACACTTTGCCAACAACCCATCGCCAGCTGCCCTGACTTTCCGGGTGATAAATTTCAGCAGGTTAGAACACGTCCTGCCAAATCCCCAACTTCTCTGCTGGTAAATATATTTTGCACAATTTTTTTAGAGATATGTGTAACTTAGCACTTCATTCTCAGATAAGGGAGGGATAAACCTTAGCAAGGAAGTAACACTGTAAAGCAATTACTGCTGTTCAGATATGTGTGTAGATTCAAACTCAGAACTTTTACAGCTGTCCAAGTTTTTTGTGATTGACTGTACATCTGTGCACATACATATTTTAATGGCCAAATATCTCAGGTGGCTGGAGAGAGATTTAGAGTAATAAAATCTGTATTAGTGACAATTTATTTATTGTCCATTTTACTTATCATCAGTAGACAATGGCTAAGGATGGTGGAAAATGAACCCAATAAAAGGAATAAGCTGTTATAGTAGCATCTTTGAGGTCAAACGATATTTGAATTGTGCGTTACTCTTCACATGAACATGAAAACCTTTTCTGTGAAACATAATTATATCGACATTGCTGGGTAGTAACTGAGTGCCTCTGTTTGGTATAGTGTGAAAGTATGACCTACAATAACACTGACCTGGGCTGGAATCCTGATTCTCTTACCTATTAGCTATTCCAACTTAAGCAAATTACTTAATTTTGCTGACCCTCCATTACTATCTGCTGCCTTGCTGTGTGGCTACAGCTCTGGAAGCTCTAGGTAACTTGAATGTTTTTAGATAATAACACTTTACTAGTAAACAGCCTGAATCAGCATCTTTACCTCAGCTTGATTAGAGGCAAAGTCTCGGAGGAGGCCAGGATTCTCTTCCTACATGCCCCGACCCATATAGCAACAACCCAGACCAGGGCCCCGCAGAACCGCATAGCCCATGCTGAGACTTGGCTCCCCACCACCCCCAAACTACTCCCTCTCAACAGAACAGTAGCAGTTTTAAGGCTCTGATGTTTTTTTGACTGAGCTGTTCTGACTTGTTAGACTTCTGCCAGCTGACTTGTGACCTGCCTTTATGACATCATCACTGCCACTCTTCTGTCTTCTTAATCTCTAATTTTCTCTTTTATAACATTTGCCCATCCTTAAAAAGGAAGAGAATTCTTCCTTTGCAGATAGATTTTAATGAAATGTTAATAGAGTGCCTAGCACATAATAGGTGCTCAGAAAATTATATCTACTGTTTGATGTAGAATATTCTGAAAGTGAAATGTCATTAAACTTGAGTTGTATGTCCAGTTTCTGAGTCACTTGGGTTCTCAGTTTCCTCATTATGTGGGAAGTGAGCAAATGCTTTTCACACTCTTATGTGACTTTTTTGTCATTGAGAAGAGCATTTTCAAGATATATCAGGTGGGTCACCTGTGGGCAGGCACCTGAGCAAAGCTAATGCTTCTCATAAGAATACAAACTCCTCAGTTCATCAAGACTGTGCTTGTCTATTGTAACTACCATGGTAACTATCATTTAAATTCCAGGGTCATCTTGTAAGAACAGTGACTTTTTTATGACTTAGATGCTCTTAGGTGATATATTGTGAATGCTAAAAAGGTAGCGTGGTAATTCTAGTATCACGCTTTTTTCCGCAGTTGGCGACAAAGACATTTGGCCAAAAATTTAACTCAGTAATTTCTGAGAAACTACTGTTCAAGTCAATACCAAAAAAGAAAAAAAAGAAAACCAATAAACTCAGCTATTTGATTGCTTTAACAACTGTCTAAGTCAGAGGAAACTGGTGATGTAGAAAGAGCTATTAAGTTTGGATTAATAAATAATTCACTCTTCAAAGCAACCAATTATCATTATGAATGGTTAATATTACTGGGTACTCCCTGAGATTTATAAAACTACAATAATGCCTCCCTATGGGTATTAATCTATTAACTTAATACCATTTAGAACTGCAATTGAATTGAAACCATACTACTGTTAATAATATAATCTACAAATTGTCAAAGATGGATGTAGAAATCAGATGCAGTTTGCTAAGATGATTCTTTATGTCAAGATGATAATCATTTTTTTCTTCCCAATTGAATAGCGATAATACCCAAAGTGATGCCAATAGCAAGGAATTCTGGGTAAACATGCCAAATTTGATGACTCACCTAAAGAAAGTGTCTGAACAAAAACCCCAGGCTACATATTATAATGTGGACATGCTTAAATATCAGGTAAGCCTATTTATATCGCCAGGGGGTGGTTTTTACATTACAAATGTATATTCTAACATACCTAGCATTAAATAAAAGTAAATAAAATAACATTTCTTTTAATATTATTTAAAAGCTATAATTATAACCAAATAGAAAGTTTAAAAAACTGCTTGCAGACATAGTGACAAGAATATTCATACATATTCTTAGTTTAAACTTACAAGTAAAATATTTTATTTAATTAGAAAAACATGCCACAGAATGAAGTTGCAGAAAATTACATCAGTGAATATTATAAATATTGATAAACTTGTTCACTGTATTTTGTTAAGAACATTACTGTATTAAAAACTCTTATTTTAAATTATTAAATGTAAGTAGACTGGTGGTTTTTTTTTCTAATGTGGTAGTCCTATGAAATAAATTCTAGTAAAATTCATGGTAAGAAATAATTTGATATTAAAAGACTGGTTGGTACAACACAATATAGTATAAAAGAATTTTCTTTTTCTGTCCAGGATTGCCCTCCTCCCAAATTACTGGCTTAGTAAATAAGCTTTCAAACCAGGATTCTGTATAGCCTGAGTACCCTATTGATTCCCAGCCACTTGATCACCTAGGTTATCTTTAATGTATTATAATTTTTGTGATTAAATATGTTTATATTATTTTTCTTAAGATGGGGAAAAATATTATTTTTAAAGTTGTATTTTACTAGAAATTGGTGCATCTTAAACATAACTCTATAATCACCAGAGAATTTGTAAATGAATACTAGTTCTGAACTTGTGCTAATTACTAGTATATATAGACTTGAGGCCTGGTGCACGAAATTGGTGCAGTTGGGGGGAAGGGGTGGCCCTCAGCCCAGCCTGCACCCTCTCACAGTCTGGGAGCCTTCGGGTGATGTCCAACTGCTATGGAGGTGGGAGAGGCTCCTGCCACGGCCACTGCGCTCGCCAGCCATGAGCCTGGCTCAGGGCTTCTGGCTGAGTGGTGCTCCCCCTGTGGGAGCGCAATGACCACAAGGGGGCAGCTCCTGTGTTGAGTGTCTGCCCCCTCGTGGTCAGTGCACGCCATAGCGAGCAGTTGAGCGGCCTTAGCATATAATTACCATATTACGCTTTGATCAGTTGAATGGACAACCAGACCACTGGACACTTAGCATATTAGGTTTTTTATTATATAGGATATACATAGTCATCTACGTTAAAATCTACTTGAAAATATAGAAATAGACATAGAGATATAGACACAGATATAGACATAGACATCTGTTGGGCCCTGAAACTCCCAGAGATTTTGACTTAATTGGTTTAGGGTATGACCCAGATATCTGTATTTGTTTCAAGTTCTCCAAGTGATTATAATGCACCCTATAGGTTGAAAAGCACTCATAATATCATAAGGAAACCATTGAAAGTGAAGTATATATATGATGGCACATTTTACAAAAATGCAAATGAATGTTTTTTCTGTAAGAATTGGATTATCTAAGCTTATTATCAACTAGAGGTCCAGTGCATGGATTTGTGCACTGGGGGGGTCCCTCAGCCTAGCCTGTGCCCTCTCGCAATCCAGGACCCCTCAGGGGATGTCAGAGAGCCAGTTTCGGCCCCATCCCCGCAGGCCAGGCCGAGGGACCCCACTGGTGTACAAATTCATGCACTGGGACTCTAGAATGCATACAAGATCTTTGGTTAATCTCTTCCTGCCCTCCCCCTCCTCCCCTCGTTCTGAGATTCGTCAGTCGGTTCCATGTTTCCATGCCTGTGGCTTCTGCTCCTGCGTTGAGCATCTGCCCCCTGGTGGTCAATGCGCATCATAGCTATTAGTCAGTTGAATGGTCGGCCAGTTGGCCAGTCACTTAGTCTTTTATATATATATAGATAATATTAAACAAACACACAACATGACAGAAATTCATCACTTTTATAATTAAAAGATAATAAGATTTGGAAACAGCCTAAATGCCCATCAGCAAATGAATGGATTAGAAAACTGTGGCACATCTACACAATGGAATACTACGCTGCTATAAAAAAGAAGGAATTCTTACTATTTGCCACAGCATGGATGGAACTAGAGAGCATTATGCTAAGTGAAATAAGCCAGTCAGTGAAAGAAAAATACCACATGATCTCATTCATTTATGGATAATAAAGAACATTATAACCTAATGAACAAAAAAGATAGATACATAGGCAGAGAAGCATCGAAAAGACTGTCAAAGTACAGTGGGAAGGCTGGGAATGTTGTGGAGGGGGGCGATAAGAGATCAATCGAAGGACTTATATGCATGCATATAAGCATAACCAATGGACACAAGACACTGGAGGGGTGGGGTAAGGGCATGTGCCAGGGAGTAGGGGAGGCCAGGAGGAGGTCAATGGGGGGAGGGGGGGAGACATATGTACTACTATTTGTAATAATTTAAACAAGAAAATAAAAAAATTTATAAAAAGATAATATAAAATGCATTTCCATTTAACTTTTCCCCAAAGCATTTAAACATATTTAGTGATTGCTTTAAGATTCTGAGAGAAATTAAAGGAGTTAAGAAAAAGACATTCCAATGTAATTTTTCCCTGAATAGGAAGTTAAATTCTGGGGCACATGCATGGTTCTTATGCCCACCAGGGTAAAACTAAAACTGTAGTTGTTTTCTTTCATTACAAATCCTGCATATGCATTTTCAATTCAAATTAAAATAGTTTTTTGGAAATTTTAAATCCTGTAAAATTTTTAAATTCTTCATATTTGTCATTAAGTGAACCTGGAAAATAGATAGACTCACCCATTGCAGTATGAGTTTAGTGTATAAGTATAACATTGGCAAGAAACTGAATTCTGGAATTAAGTCACCTTCCTACTGGCCACTGACCTTGGGCACTTCATCTCCCTGGACCTCAGTTTCCTCATCTGCAATTAAAGATGACAGTGATTCCTACCTAGATATTTTATGGGCTGTATGAGGAGCTTACTATATTTCAAAGTACTTTGGAACATGTAAATGTCCCTAGGCCAGTTGTTCTGTGTTAAAGTGTGCTCTGAAAAATCTCTTGTTGAATTGTGTTGTTTTCAATTATGCAAGGAATTGGGTGAGAGGCACAACTAGTGTTTTTTGTGGGATTGCCCTCAAATTGCAGCATGTTTAGTTTCTGGTCACCAGTATCATCCCCCAATAGTAAGGACAATCAGAGGCACACCCTCACTTAGCCACAGCACCTGGCTGAATAGAACCACACTATGAAGCTGGAACTGCTGAGGACAGAGTGCAGAAACACCGCTTTTGATCTATCTTAACTGGTAGATTTTTAAGTAAAAGTTCATTTACAGAGGATTGTGTTGTTAAAAATAAAGTTTAAAAAACCATAATAATGATTATCTAACTGAAATTGTCCTCAAAAGCCATGCGTGTCATTTTATTTAAAAAAACACCACCACATTTCTGGGCTTGGTTCTGCAGCAGCCACTCCTGCCTCAGGCCGCTTCACCATGGTGTCCATATGTGCAGAGCTTGCCAAGTCAACAAAGGGCTGTTTATGGTCTTCAAAATCCGCAAAACTCATACTCCATGAATCAAACTGCAAGGGCATAGACCCACCCCATCGCTGCTGCAGGGTGGCGTACTTAGAAAAGGAGGATTTCCTAGAGCTATTCATTGTCACATTGAACAATCAAGGAATAATAACATTGTGAATTTTTTCATTCTGGGCCTTTAAAACTCAAGTTTATATTATTGGCTTTAGGTAAAATATATTTTAGTTGATTCTTCAAACCTGGATTTTCCTTGGTCAGACTCACAGTTGATTCTAACTAGAATTGACAGGAGACAGCTGAATGCTGCACTTCCGGTTAGAGGACCAAGTCCTTATTTTGACACATCCGAAAAGAGTAACAATAACCTCCTTTGTCTAACTCACTGGTTTGTTGTGAAGGGCAAATATGATAAGAATATCAATAGGGCACATGAATTAAAGCACTGGTCACTGACTCTGTGCCAGGCCCTTTGCTGAGTGTTTCCCATGAACATCTTCAATCTGCCCGACAACTCCATGGGTAAATATTGTTGTTATCATTCCCATTTGGCAGGTGAGGATATAAGTGAGGCACAGAGAAGTTTAGTAACTGGTCCAAGATCACTCAGCTTGTAATGCAATGAGAACTCACATCCAGACCTGTCTAACTCCTGGGCCTCAGCCCCTAACCAGTGCTCTACCACCTCCTTACCTGACCTAAAGTATATTCTAAACTCTACAGTACTAGAGAGTTTAATCATTGATTTTGTTTTTTAATCTGTAACAACTTCCCCAAAGCACCAGCTCTCCCTCACATGGCACCCGTCATGGTGATTTTCACTGACAGCTCCTCTGTGAGCGGCACTAACAGCACGCTGATGTCTAAGAACATTCCTATGGGAGATAATCCTAGCTTCTGGCTTGTCCTGATTAATGGTGGAGCCTTAACTATTCTCTTTTCCTGTCATTTGGCAAGGTGTCTGCCCAGGGCATTCAGTCCACACCTCTGAACCTGGCCGTGAACTGGCGGTGTGAGCCCACCAGCACCGACCTGCGCATAGATTACAAATACAATACGGATGCAATGACAACCGCCGTGGCCCTCAACAATGTGCAGTTCCTGGTCCCCATCGACGGAGGAGTAACCAAGCTCCAGGCCGTGCTCCCCCCGGCAGTCTGGTAAGGAGCCCCCACCCCCTTCCGCTTCCCCAAAGAGCTCCTCTGGACAGAGGGACCCCAGACTTCTTAGCATTTGTTTCCTCCTGGAGACCACAGCAGGCCTGTGTGTCAGGTTCAGGGAAAGAAACAGAAACCACCGCAGCTATTTTAAGCAGAAAATGGTTTAGCACAGGGATTTAGATGCCCACACGTACATGGTGGAAGTGCTAGAAAAACAAGCTGGAAGCTGGTTCTCCAGGAATGTTTCCTGGAAGACGTAGCATCGGCCGGCCAGAGGAGCTGCTCGCCTCGGCCATAACCAAGAAGGAACATCAGGAGGCTGCCAGGGCAGCCACTGAATTCAAGAACACCCACTGTCACTCTGGTGGAGGGTGAGAAAGTTCCTACCAGCTCTGCCTTAACTGCCTTTCAACACTCACAAAACTGCAGGCTGGGCTGGAGCGCTGCGGTCGGATCCCCACATCTCAGGTTGCTGGCAGCAGAAAGCAGCCAAGAAAGCAGCAGGAAAAGGCCTCTCTCTCCCTCCTGTTCTCCAGAGCTCACGCAGTGCATGTGACTGGTGAAGTCTAATCTGCACCCAGGGCCCTAAACACAGGGGAGCCTGAGAAGTGGAGGGTTCCGCTTTGTAGCCTCTGTGAACAGAGACTGAATAGGCGCTGAGTACCAATGGTCGCTCCTAGGAAAACTGTTCTGGGTTTCCCACGTGATTGTCAAAAGCAGAAAATGGAACATTTTTAAAAAATGAATGTCAGCCATGTAACAGCTCCAGTGTAAATGGCCAGAACTGATGAACTGACCCTTCTCATCTATCCTTTCAGTAGATGTGTTTAAAAAAAACTTAACCGTATTGTCCTCTAAATATTTACCTATCCGACAGTGTGGTAGCCGGTTACAATAAGGAACAGGAAAGGAGAGAATTTATATGTGGATAGATAGATAAACAGATAGATAATGTTTAAATTGTAGCTGAAAACTTCAAAATCCTTTTTAAAAAAAATTAACACTATCTGGAAAAAATAGGGCATCTATTAAACAAAAAACTTTGCAAATGCAAAAGTCTTTTACCAATTTTATTTTTAGGAATGCTGAACAACAAAGAATATTGTGGAAAATTCCCGATATTTCTCAGAAGTCAGAAAATGGAGGTAATGTCATCACAGGCTTACTTTATTTAATATCTGAGGCTGAAATCATTTGCAGGTATCAGGTAACTATTAATCAAACTACACTTTATACTAAAAGCAAGCAAAATATGTCACTTCATTTTGGCACATGTGTATTTCAACCAATAAAAGCAAGTAATTCGTCAGTGAATCTTCTGCTTCCCCTTTTCTGCCTCAAACCCACATCAAACAGATCATATTTTCAGCATTAAAAAAAAAAAGCTTTTAATTAGGCATATTTCCACTCTGTATCAGATCTCACACTCTGATAGTTTAGATAGGTTTTTACTTTCCTCTGATATCAATCATAGGTTGGAGAATACATTGCCTTCTGAGTAGCATACTTCCAAATTTTTTAATACTATTTGGCTGAATTACACTTGAATCTACATGCAGTAGGAGCCACTCATCATATTTAATGATAAATCTTATCACCATATTAGAACATATACTGTTTTCTGATAAGTTAGATTTTGTTTATTTAACTTTGAGTACAGTTTCTAAAATTAAACCCAGAATGTGGTGTTGACTATTGTCTTGTAATTATATAATACTTTGTTCATAGGTGTGGGTTCTTTATTGGCAAGATTTCAGTTATCTGAAGGCCCAAGCAAACCTTCCCCATTGGTTGTGCAGTTTACAAGTGAAGGAAGCACCCTTTCCGGCTGTGACATTGAACTTGTTGGAGCAGGCTATCGATTTTCACTCATCAAAAAAAGGTTTGCCGCAGGTGAGTGTGTGTCTTGTGAGTTTCATTTGCAAAAATAATGTTGCCTCAGCAACTCTTCCTTCCGAAGAAAAAGGTTGTGATTTCCTCACCTTTTTTCTACTCCTCTTTCCCCTCCCAGCCCTCAATTCCTATCTCAATTAGAAAGCAAACCAACTGTTGAATGAAGGACAAATTGGACAGTGGACTGAAATTAGAAATTAGGAAAGCCCTGGCTACTTCTCATGGCTCTGGCTCTGGCTCTGTTTCTTAGGTGGCACTAATTAATCATTCCCACTGTATAGATGTGTATACTGAGGTTAATGAAGTAAATCCTACTTTTGTTATATTGACAAGCAAGGTAAATGTCATTTGCCTTGAATGTATTTCTTACCTGAAAACTTTTCTTCTCCAATCTTCATAGATTTTAGACTCGTCAGGCTTAGCTGGGATTGTCAGGCTTAGCTGGGATTTAAGAGGCTCCATCTCCCTCTTTAACAGCAACCTTAAGGAATCTACCTCGGAGATCGGTCCTTGTTGCCCATGAGCCGATGTGACCGCGAGATGGGTTTTGGGCACACAAGGTCTTTTGTTGGCAGGGAATTCCCCAGTACTGGGGTGACTATACCTGTCAATGATTTGTTGGGATAAGTTCTGGTTTTTATGCCGGCTTTAATGATATAATTACTAATTACACTCCTTTCACTCTCAGAAATGACCCAGATTGGAAAGTAATTATATGGCAATTCTTCCTAAAATAAGATGGATTCTCACATCCAGAAACAAATCTCCCAACCTATTCTGAGCAAAACGCAAATTTGTGAAAAATGTTTACATATGGAAATGTGAATAGGCCACTAGCTGGTCTGGAAAATTGAAAAACCCAAAAAATATGATGTCTTATAATTAGTATTTCACCCATCAAATATGCATTAGTTGGCTCCTAGGGTTAATGTAGGAGGAATAGAAATGTTAGCCATTTAATAATCACCTTATTGATTATTATATAGTAGGTAACCTACTGGTATGTTGTTTTGTTTTACAGGAAAATACTTGGCAGACAACTAATAAAATCTTGTGCAAGGATTCAGAAGATCACATAATGGAGAACTGTTGTATGAGAAACAGGTTTCAGTTTGGGTTTGATGAAAACAAATCAAAATCTGCACTTGGGATAAATCTGCTGGAAATGCCCACGACTTTTCAGCAATGATTTCCCTCACACAATACCATGATGACCAGTCCTACAGTATTTACTTCTAGGTGTAATATTGTTGTGGTTTCAAAATGTAATTATTGTATTTGTAAATTGTACTCATTCCAGTAAAGCAGTTAGACACTTGAGTTTTAGCATTTTACCACTCCTGAAATGGATGTAATTTAATCTGTGGTATGTAAATTTAATAGTAGTACTGTTGAATGGCACAGCGCTTACAGAGGTAGGTTGAATTTTGTCAATATATAAAATTTAAATATAATATTGATAGCTATCACAAAGGGGGTGCCACATACAAAGGAAATTAAGTGGAACCAGAAAAAAAAACTTTTTTTTTCAGTTCTTAGTATGTTTTATTCTAGTGCTAAATAAAAAATTCTATCTTCAAATGTTTAGTGAGTTAAATTCAGAAACTATTTCAGAAAAACATTCTAAGGTTACAGCATATTCAAAGAAAAGCATTAATTACCACTTTTTAAAAAAGCTTTTTTTTCAAACTGCAAATTTCATAAAAATGCAAACTGTGTAAACAGGGCCTCTTATTTTTATAACTTGTGTATAAAGGGAAAGCAATTCATATTTAAAGTTTAAGTATATGAAATTATAATCAAGTAAAGAAGATATTGACGTCTTAACTACTTCCCCTCTCTCTCTACAGCTTCGCAAATGTAGAGATTGTTGAATAATCCAGTCAGACTAAAACAAAAATTGTGATTTTAAAACTTCAAGACTCTCCATAGTTGAGCTGGTTCGCAACTTTTGCACAGTTACTCTAAACAGAGAGTTCCTCCCACTGAGCATGGAGACCGGTGCCATGCGTCTTCCTCCTCACCCATAGGAATCAAAATGTTGAGACCAAAAATCTCTGAAAAAAATGTTTGTCCCCTATTTAAATCCAGAAGGAGAATTTTAATCACAATCATTTATAATATTTGGGAAGGAAAAAAATAAGCTTTATCAAAGAAGTTCTCTCCACATAATTGTGTAATAAAGTCCTTTTAGATAAAATTCATTGTATGAAACTATAAATCTTTGCCATTCTGGGGGGGACTCAAAAAGAGTTATAAAAAATGTTATTATTTTATTGTTGCAAGGTACAATACAAACTTCAAGTACTCAGTTGGGTCTCACGATGAGGGAATTCAGAATAGAGAAGCACTTCTTCAGGGATCCCAGTTATAAAACCTTCCTTCATTCTGATCTGAAAACACAAGTCTTCCTTCAAGTCATAGAGCTTATTTTAAACATAGGCAAATTCGTGTTCTAGGTTATACTGTTAAATAACTGTAATTATAAGTTGTTTTATTTATCATTAGTTGCTAAATTTTACTTTACACTTACTCATATTAGACAAAGAATTTTGAGCCCCTTTAAGTTTTTAAATCTTACTCTTAAAATGAGATTGTGACTGGCAGTAGTTCACAGTGGAACTTTCTAAATTGGTGTTTGTACTTCTCTATCAGTGCTGGCTACCCAGAGGATGTTCAGAGTGAGCTGCCTTGCATTTGAAGGATATTCTCAATTGGCTTCTCAAGTCTTGTGTTGAAGTTTTTTAAACAAATAACTAATATACTCTTTTTATGTAAAGATATGCTATTTGATTTTGAAACCAAAAGAGAGAATGCAAATTTTTAAATATATGAAACATAGGGAAATTCCAAACACTAAAACCAATGGAAAATAAACTGCAGAAAACTGAGAACTATCCAGCATATAAATATAAAAGTGTGTTTAAAGTAATCAGTTTGTGAAAAAACATTGAAAATTAGCACAAAGCATATTAAAATGTGTAAATATTACTGTTCTCATGTCTTGCTCTTTATATTTATTTTATTTCAATTGGTTCTGGAGTGAATTGGTAGTTAAACACAAGGACTTTTTGTTAATAAAAGAATAATTTTGTTGATATTGTAAAAAATGTAATTTAAAACATAGATTACAATAATCCCTAACATTATTCAAATGTTTCCAGGAACTAAAATTTGGAACAATGAAGATATCCTATGATCTCTTAATTAGTCTTTGTGAAACAGAATGAAAGTCAGTGATTTCAGAGTTACTAAACCTTGAATAACCAGAATCTCAATAGAGAATATATCTCTTTCAGTTCAGAAAATAGGTTAAATAATAACAAACTCATATCAGGGAGGTCTGGGTGTTTTTCTTTTACTCTTGTAGTTTATATTCTCCTGTTACACCTGTACCCACTGTACTATGCACTAAGAATTCATGTCAGAAAAAATGATCCAAGACAGTACAAGAGTCTCTGTTATAAAAGAAACATTAAGTCGGGTTCATTATCAATCCCTAAAGCAGAACAACGTGAGCTAGTACATATTAACATTTTCAATACTATGGGTTAAAATGAAAAGAAAGGGTTTTGTTAACCAGGACATCACGTTCTGAGCAATATGGTTACAAAGGTTCTGCTCTATCAAGATAGAAAGTATGAATGATGCTGCTTTATTTTGGCAAAATGGAAAGTATGTTTTTCTTTTCAAATAAATTCCATATTTTCATGGTATTTTTAAAAATAAATTCTCATTATGAATTAGTCTGAATTTTATCATAATTGGAATTTCTAATTCCTAAAGATTAAATTTTTAAATTATTTTTAAAGCTCTATTCTTCTCTATACCTACAGCCAAAATGGGAATTCACTGCATGGTATTTGGGGATCTGTTTTACCTATAAAGGAAGAAAGTCCACATTCCAGTGGTTTCAAGTGAATGCTGAATGTTTTGTGTATTTTTACTCCACCTTTATCTACAGATAGTCCGAGGCCATAATTAAACATATTTTCATTTCTTCTTTTCAAAGAAACCCGCACAGTTCTAGTAATGTAACTGCATTACACTGACGCTGACTTCTGTGTGACCTTAGACAAATCACTGCTCTTTTCAGCTTCTCCTCTTTGCAGTGAGGGATTGGGATTGCCAGTGGTTTTCAAGCTTTTCTTAGCAGCAGGACTTTTTGTACTAGAATTGTGCATGGAATCCTGTTAGGCAAAACAGCTCAAACAATGCAGGAGTTCCTCCAGCAGTTTAAATCTGGGTTCCCCACCCCGTGGCTCCCAGCACTGTTTCGACAGCATAACAACACCTCAATGATCTATACAGTTTCTTCCACATCTGAAATTCCATGATTCTACTTGACTCAGATAGGTCACCTTGGGGGACTTTACAAGGTCACTTGTACAATCATAGTAATTAACTGAGATACAATAAAAATTGATATTTACTTGAGAGCTTACCATGTACTAGTCACTATAGCTATTAGCTCATTTAATCCTTATATCAATCTCCAAATTGTAGGTACTCTTTTGAATTCCTATTTTTACAAATGCTGACATTGAAGACTAGACAGATTCACTAATTTGCCCAAAGAGACACAGCAACTGGAAGTAACCCAGTTATCTTGACTGCAGAAGGAGCCCTGACCTGTTTTGCTTGCTCATTCTGGAACATAAACTCTTCTGTTTGATTGTACTATACATATTCTATTTGAATGCCAAATTAAAGGTGCTATGAAAAATTAGTATCAAAATCAGGATAATTCCAGTAGCAAAATTGTTAGGAAAAATGTGTTTCTCAAAATATGATATGTGGACCACTTGTGTTATTTATTTTAAAAAGGCAATGATTTTGGCTTACTCACAACTATATCCCTGGAGCGTAAGAGACAGTAGGTGCCAAAAAATGTATATTAAATAAAGAAATCTCTAGAAATGGGGTTTAAAAATAAGTGTTTTGAGCCCTAGCCAGTTTGCTCAGTGGATAGCGCATTGGCCTCCTGACTGAAGGGTACCGGGTTCCATTCTGGTCAAGAGCATATGCCTGGGTTGTGGGCTCAATCCCCAGCAGGAGGCAGCCAATCAGTGACTCTCTCTCATCATTGATGTTTCTGTCTCTCTCTCCCTCTCCCTTCCTCTCTGACATCAATAAAAATATATTTTTTTAAAAAAGAAATATTTTGACAAGCACCCAAGATTTGAGGATCACTGCCCTAATAGATCTCTCAGGTCCTTCTTGGCTCTGACATTATTTCAAATTTTAAATACTAAATTGTAATTTGAATATCATTTTTTCTAGTGAATTTGTTTTTTTCACTCAGCTCATTTAATTTTCTTCTAATCTTGAAAAGGAGAAAGATAAAGTGGATTTTTCTAAGAACATCCCTCTTTTCCTTAGAGCTCTCCTGTTATGCTATCTCAGTCTCAAAGTGGCCTGAAATGCATTCTCTCATTTCCATGTTTCTGTCCTTTTCTTCAAAGTCTTGAAAGTTTAAAGGGAGCAGTAGGGAGGTTGCAAGCTGTGGTTCATCCCAAACACACAGTCTTAATAAACGTCTCCCTCCTTGCAAAGGAAACTCAGACACCTAACCTGTAAGTCAACCCATTTGTCTTGTAGGCCTTTGAATTGAATGTTTTATAAACACAGACTAATGTCATTACGAAAAAATTGCACCAATCCTTTTTATTTCCTTTCTTTTTCTTTAAAATAATCAAAGGCTATCAAGGAAAGTTGAATGGCACCATAAACTATGCAGATATCGACTAAGGAACGGGTTTGTAGGTTTGTTTTTATTAAGCTTTCTTTTTCTCCAAAAATTATGCATTGGAGCAAAGTCACATTCAGTCCAAATACTCTCATTTTGTACATGGTTTTCTGATTAGCAATTTTTTAAAAACAAGCATGATTTTTTTATATCAAAATGAGAGTGATTTCTAGATATTGCTTTAAAAGTTAATATTACAAGTAAACATGTTTCCTTGCAATGAATCAAATTAAACTGTTGATATGAGTGAACAAATCAATTCATGTTACACTGAATAAAGAGACTGTTCTGATGACCCACCCTACCCCCTTTTACTGTGTGCACTTCTCTCTTGAAGCTTTATTGTATTTTCCTGCTCCTTTTTTTTTTTTCCAATTTGGCAAATAACATTTAGATTTCACTCAATCACTCATGAATTGAACATGGATACCATTACATTACTTTTGGTGCATGAAATATATAGAGGAAGAATGAGAGAGGAATATAATGTCTTAAGTCTCCAAATATTCAAAACAAAACAAAACAAAAAACCCACTAGCTTCTCTCTTTTGTCATTGCTTTGATGTTCTGTCTTCTGTAGGCTACAGTTGCATTTTTAATATCTAATTGAAATCTAAGCATCCTTCTCGAAGGAATGTCAAAATTTAGTATCTGTGGGCAGACCTCTTGACTGTCCCTTATGTTTAATACCTGATTTGTATCTTACATGAGTATTCTATGAGAGAAAGGCACCTCCTTGTTGACATTCACCATGGGCATAACTTATTCTCTAGGTTTAACTTCCAAGGGTATTTTCCTTTGATTTCTAGTATCTCTGGTCACCTCTTTCTACCCCTAGGGTGATACATTGCCTGTTCTGGATACATTGTCTATGTAACCTTAAAAGAAAGGATGTGTTCAGTG